GGGTTTGCACCCACACGTCATTCGACCACCGCTGAGCATCGGTCCGGTACACGGATTGTGTTTTGCCCAACGCGCGCGGTCAGTTGGAGACTACTCCCATCGAACACTGTTTCGACAATGAAAGATAATGATGAGTTGGGACAAAACGTGATGGCCAGTGGCTCGATCAGCAGCAGCAGCAGCAGCCGCAGTAGTAGTAGTAGTGGTAGCATCCATGCTCAAATGGAGAAGCAAGTTCCATATGTCACAAACAGGAATATACAGGAAACCGGAAAATTCCAAGGTGTATGATAGGGTTGTCGGAATTCACACGTCTTCTGATTGTCAATCACTCCCCTCGCATCCCTCCCCTCTCCAGCCGTGTTAAAATCCACTTCCGAGAGTCATGGAAAAAGATTTATGGAAGAGAATATTTATTGATCCGTTGAAAAACACCTTTCCGTTTATATCGAGAGCCCTTTTGAAGTAAAAATGATCTCACTGAGTATTTGAACAGCACTGAGAAGTTCACGATGTGCAAAACTAAGGAGAAAAATTGACAACTGAAAACAATTAGCTCGGCTCTAAATCCGAATACATCGTTCATTCGACACCTCATTAACAAAGCTCACGAAAAATCTTGGTAAACGGTCACATATTAAGATGTAGTATATGGATCTTGTCACTGTATCTATCGATACTACCGTAGCGGTCCCCGCTACGTAGACGGGTACACAAGCCAATTAAATGTAGTGATGGATAAGCGATAGGCTTTGGGTTCGAAAAAATAAACTGAAAGAAAACTGACGGACTATATATACTATGTGGACCCCATCACTACAACAAATGGTCAATCGATGGCATCCAACGCTAAACGCCCGAGTGAATCCCATCAGGACAATACCCTTTGCCCGAGATCAAATTATTCCTGATCATTCAGGGTCTGACATCAAGCTAACTAGGCCCGCTATGAAAAGTTTGGCAAAATCTTTTCATGATAACTTAGTGGATTTCCTGTTTGCGGTTAATGTATGATATTTATATACTGACAGATGCATCCTCTCGTTTTTCTTTTACCGTGATCCCTTTCCTACGTGACCAACAATCACTCATAACACGTTCAAATCTCATTCTACTAAGCAGAGCTCAAAGTGGCTATTAAACTGTGCCAACCAGAACCAAGATAAGCCAAAATTACGAGACTAACAAGGAGATTAGACGTTACATTGACCGATAATTGGTATCTGTTGGTCGTAAACTCTCATTCCCCTAGCCACAGGAGCATTCTCTCTCTCTGTTCGGTGTATACCGCCAACTTCTTTTGCATAGGCCTGCTCTTGGTTGTGCACGTGTCAAGGTATTTAGCGCTGTGAAGTTCCACCTGATTGCACAACCGGTTTATGCGTACCTTCACCACCATCATCNACCACCACCACTACCACTTACTATTACTACTACTACCTTATTTCGAGCTGCTCCGATGGAGTCAATTGTGTCCCTCGACTCGCACAACCTCATACATGTTTGATGCGACCTCATAAACTGTCGACGGGAGCGGTGTACCCGTCCCCGGTTGCGGTACAAGTTGAGCGTGACTGATTACAACCGCACGTGTGACGGAACCCATGCGAGAGTCGACTTCATAGAATGTGCAAGTTCCCTTGTCCAATTCTATCATTTCATTGGTGGTCCAGATAACACCAAATCACATTCCGAAATGCGTTGACTATGAAACGAGTACCTCAGAATAACTATGTCACTCCAATAGTCACATAGCTGAAAGCGGCAAATGTTGAGGCACATACTAAATATACACAATACTCATTAAAGGAAATAATCAATTTAGTAATTTTTCCTTGTTACATAATCGTAACCTCAG